ATATGGTCCCATACATGTACATGCATGTGCTGTAATAGCCCATGCAGCATTGGCAAATTTTAAAGCAGCTTTAAATAGTACCGTATGCGGCATATATTTCGCGAGTATAAAATTTCACGATTTGACTACATTTTTCTATTTGTGAATAAAAATTTCACGATTTTAATGTAATTACCACACCCACTATACAATCAGCACGCTATTTGCGAATTTTAATTTTGCGATATTTTCCAAGACGCGAAAATTGTGAAATTTAATCCCTGCAAATTACACATGTATATGCCGTATACGGTATTACAGTACATGTACAATAATACTCTTAATATGGGGTGTATATTTAATAATGCGGCATATATTTCACGGGTATAAAATTTCGCGATTTGACTGCATTTTTCTATTTGCAAATAATTACAATTTACCTTCACTTTAGCTATCACTGAGATCACTCGAAGGACTGATCTCACTCCTGGAGTAAGGAGGACTAAGAGACCCAATATTGCTAGAGTACCGGTTGGAGGATATGTAGAGTATAAGGACCACTGGGGGAACACGCCCAGCAATACTTATGGTAAGAATAGATAGAGGATACCGTATAGCACTTTAATTTTGCGGAGCTAAAATTTCGCGGATTGATAAAAATCAATTTTTTGCGGAAATAACTTTTGCGGATTCACAATGTTTGTGCTACACCTTTAATGGCAATTGAAATATTAGTGGACCTTTAACTTCGTGGTTTTATGCTAACTGCGAAAATAGCGAAAGTTTATCTCCTCGAAAATAAAGTGCTATACAGTATTTAGTATTTGTTTACTGTGTATAATTTTAGTACATGTTAATGGTCTTTTTTTTTGACGTACTGTAATGCAAATTTTCGAGGGCTGTAATTTTTTGCGATTTTTTAAACATTCGTGAAAATTACGTGTACTTCCACAAAATCAAATTATTAGGGCAGAAGATAGCAGAAGGTACATGTACATTGTATATGTAAATTTGTGAAAATTAAATCCATGACATAGATTTTTAGGCAAATTCACGAAATTTATAGCCCTCAAGTAATGTTAATGTAATGACTGTAATACATTGTCATTACTTCATTTAAGCAATAGATTTTTGTATCCTTTTTTGTCATTATACATGCATGTACATGTATTTTATATGTACTGTGGTTATAGTGTCTGACTGTCTGTATACTAATTGATTTACTTTTTCATTTTAGGTCGTGAAGCAGTCCATATTGTTAATCCTATACCCAGCCCCACTCCTAGAAGTAGAAGAAATATTAACAACAAGAGAACAAGAGATGAGGTATGTGTGTACATGTATTTTGGATATTACTTCATTCTTAATTTCTTATGCATGTACATGTATGTTTGTTGTTTCAAATTTTGTAGTGTTGTGATAAATAGGTAGACACAGCTAGTGTACATGCACTCTCTCTCTCTCTCTCTCTCTCTCTCTCTCTCTCTCTCTCTCTCTCTCTCTCTCTCTCTCTCCCTCTCTGTCTCAATTCATTTTAGGAGGATTTGTATCTGTCTTTTGCTTCTCCTGATGATCCTGAGAATATAGTGAGACATCATATCTGTAAGTACATGTGACTGTCAAATAAGTGTATATTATACACATGTACATGTACATGCACATATGCACAATGACCTAATATTCATTTCATGTACTTGTGCGTCATATGTATTGTTATTATGTACATGTACATGTACATTAATGCTGTAACTATGACTTTTGTTTTGAATCAGCATCATTTGTATCAGAAACTGTAATAATAATTACCGTAAATCTTCCAAAAAAATTCAGCACTCTAACTTCGTCAAATTAAATAATTTTTTCCAAATTTTCACAAAATTACCTCTAATTATTCGATTATGCAAAATTACTGGCTGAGTATTCTAATTTCGACACAATCCTCTTATTTCGGCTCATGATTAACCACTTGCTTACCAAGCAGTTGAGACTTTGGAATGACCCTCCCTCCAATTTAGTCAATAAAAATTATTAAAAGTAAAAGAACATTT